GACCCCTGATCTAAATTGCAAATCCTTCATGTTAGCTTTTAATTTTTATGTCAGCTAGCTTGCCTAAACATACATGCATTCTTGAAGAACTAAAATTTAGTTTTAAATAGGCTATTTAATTCCAAAGATTATTAATTCAGTTTTCAGGATGAAAAATATTCTTCAAACCACAAACTAAAATGAAAATAATACATTTATCCTTTTTTTATTAAACAGAAAAATATGAATAGTTGACTACGAAAAACTAACCCTATGCATTATCTTTAATTTCTAAAAGTATAAATTTTATCATACAATAAAAAGCAATCAAGCTTTATCTATTTCCCTATTTGTAAGCTAAGAAGAAGAAGCTAAGAAGAACAAAATACACTCAACCAGAGTATCTTTTCAGTAACTCCATATACTTTGTTTGCTGGATTTCAAAGCAAGCTTCTCAATAAAGAAAGAGACATTTGAGGTTTGCTTAAATTGGCTTTGTAAACATGTTTTATTTCATTTTGAAAAATGAACAAAGTATATACAATATGCATATACACAAAACTTTCAATTATATGTATTAATGCAAATTAAATAAAACAGCTGTGTCACAGAAACATATAAGAACCACCATGTTACAAGACTATGAAAACACTAACATCAAAACTTCCATTCATGAGACTTCCGGTTTGCAAGGCTTCGGCGGCGGCAGGAATCTGCGATTGTGTACGGTTCCTGCTGCGCTCGCCGCCGAAGTGCCTCCAATCCAACTGGATCTGGAGGATATGGTTGCCCCATAGAGGCACCCGAAGATAGAGGAGATCCGGGTAGGGGCTCACAAATCCCCTCCTCAGCTGGCTAAACTCCTTTTTCCCAAGGCGGTGGAGCGGCAGTCAGCAATGGCCACCACAAAGAAGCCTGCAGCCGGATAAGATTGTGCAGGAGAAAGTCAGAGAAAGTGAAAGTTTTTGGCTGATCCGGGACAACAAGGAACTTTTAAACACCCTGGAAATTTAATCACCTGAATGATACATTGTTTCCCAAGAAGACTGCAAAGTGGCGGAAGAAAGTCTGAAAGGGAAAGTTATTTTCTCTCACTCTCCCTCCCCACGGAAATAGCAGATGGAAATCTGAAAAACCTGCTTGGGCATAGAAGGTAACTAAACTTGAAATTTAAAGCCAAGGGGATAAAAGATTTCTGAAAATTGGAATTAAAAACTAATATTTTTTTTTGCTATAAGTGGGAGGGAAGAGGTAAAGAACTTATTTTAAGATTGTATTGAAGGAGACTGCTTGGAGTTTATAAGACCAGAAATACATGGCAATAAGACTTCTAAAAAATTACTTTGGAACTGTGTAATTGAATTCTACCCCAGCAAGAGAAAATATAAAAAGAAGACAGTGCTAAATGAAACAGTTTGTCCTGATTTGGATTGCTTTGTGACTTTGGGATTTTTGAGAACTATTCCTTGAAAGATTTAAAACATTTGGGTTGTTCTTTAAAAAAATGGCATTATCTGTTGAAGAATTGCAAATGGAATTTAAAAAGCTAAAAGAAGAGGAACAAGAAGGCAAGGGCTCTTCTGGATCTATTTTTCACTTTTTAGAAATGGCGATTTCTACCTACCAAGAAATACAACAAGAAAGCTGGGATGAAGAAGAAGAAGCCATCTTTAATGGACAAATAATCTTAGTTGAGGAAGAAAAGAGAAAGGGGGGAAAGAAAATGGAGAACTCAGAACTTAAAAAAGCAACCAAGAAAGGGAAAAATAAGATGAAAAATCGATACAATGTCAGAAAGCAACAGAAAAGAGAAATACAACAGAGAGGGGAGATTAAGAGAGTGGAGTTTGGGGGGGGGGGCAAAAAGGTAAGAAAGGGAAAAAGGAAAGAGAAGTCATAAAGGTTTAAAACAAGATGTTAAAAGACAGGTTTTTTTCAGAGATAAAGGGTAAAATATAATTTAAAAAAAAGATTCTGCAAAAGTACATAAGACTGTATTGTAGATATTAGTATTTGAAATCGAGTTAGAAAACTGAAATATTATATGAGTTAATAATACATTAAAGGGAATGTATAAAAATGTTTAAGAATTAACAATAGAGTTTAATTTCCTATGGAACATTGTTTTTACTATATTATAAACTTAATCTTCTTTTTTTGTTTTATTATTCTAAAATGTAGTACTTAGAATGTACTAAGCAGATGAAATAGATAAAATAGAATTAAGAGAGTGAATAGAAAGTATATAGAAAATATAGAATGTTAAATAAGATATGAAATAGTATATTAAGTGAGCATGAATTTGATTTATGTCTGTACAAAAAGATGTAACCTGGGGTAAGCCGCTTTCCAAAAAGAAGTTTTATGTATTTATGTTTTGTGTTTTGTTTGTCTATGTTTGAATTAATAAAACGCTAGAAGAATGTTGGAAGAGAATAACAAAATTATAAATAAGACAGATGGATACAATGAATATATACAATCCAAGGCAAAAGAAATATAATTGAATAGAAGGAAAGAGAAGTTGGAAAAAGATATGAGGTTGAACAGATAAGATAAATATACATATTAAATCGTGCTTGTATGGAAATGTGATAATTTGGAATTATCCTGTCTTTAAATAAGACGTTTTATTTGTTTTTCAGAAAAGATGTCATGTTATTATATTCTACGTTTTGTTTGTGTATTGTTTTAAAAAATTAATAAAATTTGTTTAAAAAAAAAACTTCCATTCATATTCTAAATATGACAAATATTTACAAATATTCTGTCTAAATTAAGAAAGCAACTTAGTAAGGTTTTAAATGTAAGAAAGAAATATATCAAGAACAAGTTATAATTAACTAAAGTATAGAAATTTTGACAGTAAAGTAAAAGGTGAGATAGGAGAAAAAAAGTATTTTTATAATGTTTACTTGACCCAATAATTCATACAGTTATCTGGAATTTTGGATCTAAAGTAACAGCCCATCTACTATTAGTGACAAAAGTAATAAATCTGCCTTGCTGTTGACAAGAATGTTGATTTCAGAAATAATTATGCTAGCAGGAAATATTTTTGCAAATTTAGGACTATTGACAGTGCTTTAATATACTTTCTTTTTCATTAAATAATCCCAAGCATCCCTGGCAAAATTAACAACATGCACATATAAGAATGTAAACGAACTCAATCTTATTTGCCTGAGGATATAAAGACCAATATCATACATAATTCTTTATAACAACAAATAACTTGTTCAGTTTATATCTAATCACACAGTTAAAGTGAATTAAAAATAGTACGTAAACAGGAAGCAATTCCCACACTTAGTAATACAGATAGTGTTACCTGGTTGGATAATGAAACGTCTCAAGCAAACAACCAAGCACAAAGAGCATCAAGGATCCAGTAAAATAAAATGATTAAACAGAACATTAAAAGCTAGGCTAATCTCAAATTTGACTTTTCTGTGATGCTGTAGCATCATCAGGAAGGCTTCTTGAAGCCTTTGGAAAAATCAGGAGGCCTTATTGTTGCAATCTGCAACTTTTCAATCATTAACAATCCCTGAAATAGGAAAATAGAAATAATTACAGATGTACAATATATATTATAAATGGTTTAATTTTTCATAAAGACCAATCAGAAAAAGTGGCAATTTCGTGGCAATCTTAGCATGCCCAATTCTTTTTTTTTATTTAAGTTTTTATTGGTTTTTAAAAACAAACATAAACAAACAAAACATAAAAACATCAAGCCATCTTCCATATGTATACATACAGTGTGCTGGTTGGTTTACAGATTGTTTTGTGCTTCCATTTTGTAGTCTTCAATTACAATTACATTGCATATAATCTCATATTTTCAATCAAAAATTAAATACCTTAGTATCATTATTAATCAATCATTTGACTATACTTTTATTCATTCATGTTTTACAAGATAATCATAATTTACTTAGTTTGTTTGATAACATGCCCAATTCTTTTTGTCAGCTCATTACAATGCACATGCCATTCTAGAAAATCATCCAATCCCAGGAATAATCAGCAAAGCAGGAGGGTGCACATACTTCACTGCACATACAAGGGTGTTCATACCTCTTCCTGGATTCTAGGAATTCATTTTGACTATTACTTTCCCCCTCTAAAAACAACCATTTCATAGATACATTTCACCAGGAAAATACATTATGCAAGAGCCACTGTGGTTAGAACAATGCAAAAGTCTTTTGCAGCTGTTAGCTGCTTACACAGAATTTCAAAATGCTAAGTTCAAGCTGAAGTGAAAATGCTTTCCCACATCTTCTAATCCATTGAAATGTATTGAGTAGAATTCTGTGTATGGCAAGATTATCTTTCAAGATAAATTCCATAAGGATAGTAAACTTAAAATTATAAAACTATATTTTTCTTGTTCATTTTTGGCATTCTGATTTCTCGGATCTTGGGTTAGGATAGTTGGGGGCCAGGGGTGGGATTCAAATTTTTAAACAACCGGTTCTGTAGTCATGGCTTAGTAGGTGGTCATGGCTTGGTGGTCCTGTGACTGGCTGGGCGTGGCCAACTCAACATCACTCACATCAAGGCACCATCTCCTTGCCTGGCCTCTCATGACTGTGGGAATGCTGCAACAGTCGTAAGTGTGAGAAACGGTCATAAGTCACTTTTTTCAGTGCCATGGTAACTTCAAATGGTCACTCCACACAAGCAAAGTACCAGCAAAGGAGGAAAAAAAATCTCCAGAGAAGTTCCTGAGACAGGAAGTCTAGTCCCACCAAGAATGTAATAACAGTTAATGGAGAGGCAATTTCTGTAAGGAACACCAGAATGTTTCTTTCCTGCCTTCCTTACAGGATTAGGCCAGTAATTTCTTCTAACAACTGGTTCTCCGAACTGCTTAGGGTGAATAGGTGCAAACCGGTAGAATTCCACCCCTGTTGGGGGCCCTGCCCATTGTATATGACTGTGGTTTGCCAAATCTACCATTAGTTCTTGTTGTTTACTTTTTAACTATATTGTTTTTATTCTGTGGGTTTTACTGTATGTTACCCTGAGTCGGTTGGAGTTGGGCATTATCTAAATCAAGTATTCAACCCAAACTATTAAAGATTAATTCACAATAGGCCAATCTATAGTATGTTTATGCTATGGTCTAATGTGGTGTTCAAAACTGTATATTTCTACAAAGGAACTTCCGTACCTCCCTTTCTCAAAAGTAGACATATGGATGCGTAGACAGACAATTGGTAATGTATACATATATATATCATAATTTTATGTTGGTTTCCAAGAAATCTTAATTGGCTCTTACCACAAAATGGCCAAGAAGCCATAGAGCTCAAGTCAAAATATCTCAGAAGGCTTGTAATGCCTTTACAGTCAAATAGGAGAGCAACCCATTACTTTATAACAATGGAACAATGATTAATTGCAGAATGGTCCTTTTATTTTCATTACAAACTTAGTGTTGCCCACCCTTTGAAATATGTAACTGAGAATAATTTGTTAAAATTAACTAAATTATTTCCACAGAGCTAAAATTAAAAAGTAATTTTTTTAAAAAAAATACATATGTTATAAAAGGTGTGTAAGAAGAATAAGTAAAATTCTCATTTACAAAAAGCACAATTCTTGCATTTAATGCTAATTACCTAGCACAAAATTTGGATAAAGAGTTATTTTGCCAGCTTAATTTCTTAGTTTTGTTTAACATTCAGTGGTTGGTTTGCTGACTTTTTAAAAAAAGTTTACTTAGACTAAAAATCTGCAAACTTCAAAGTTGTTGCATTCTATACAACATAGTATGGCATTACATCCTCAGAAACCTCTTCCAAAATATGAACAGATCTGCAATCTATATTTTAATAAAAAAAAAACAATACATAAATAGGTTTCAAACATAACCCATAGATCAATTACAAGAGTTAATTTTTTCTTTGAATCAGAGAAGTCACAGATCATCAAGATATCAAGTCTCGTCCACAGAATTTCCCTGTTCATTGTTCCTGCTGCCCACATGTCCATTACCACTCACATTCAGGTCACCATTATGGATATCCTCTGACACATGACGTGCAAATGTATAGTTCTCACTATCAGTTACAAGCATGTTTGTTGATTCCTGCTGGTCCAGACTCTTAGATATTTTTCTGATTGGAGGGGGGGAAGGTGGTGTAGTACTTACTGGTCCAGAAAAGGGCCTGTATACCCCTACTTCAGCCATCTCTGATCTTGCAGAATTATCAAGCAGGTGCCCATAAACCATAACATCCTCAATGACTGCATAGACATGAGAATCATTCTTCTTCCTTTCCTTTTTAAAAATGCCCTGCCTTCCAGGTAACAAGGTGTTGACATTGGTATTATAAACTCCTACCACTGGCTTATGGCTTTCCTTTCTTTTGCTGAAAAAAAGAAGAGAAAGTAAGTTTTAAAACAATACACATTTGGATTTTATTCTCTCACAAATTTTCATGATGTTGATTTACAAAGCTTATACTCTCATTTTGCTTAATTAAAAGATGACTCATTTAGCTTTCTTCCATGATTCTTCCACCCCAGGGGGGGGAAATGGATCTCACAGATATCATCAACATCTTACAAGTTTTAGCTCTTTCTGAAAGCCAGCTTCTACTTTTTCCTGCAGATTTTCACAAGTAGTAAAAACAAATTCATATATCCCAGGCAATTAACTAAAAGCTGGCAGATTAGTCTATTTTGTGAGGTTTGCAACCTTAATTCATGTAAACCAAATGGCTGATGTAGTATTATTTCAATATTATTTAATTTTTAATGGCATATTGTGAAATGATATATTCTTATAACTTTATTAGTTTATTCATCTACTTTAATAGAAAAACCCTAAGGTTAAATTTAACTGCCAATGAATTATTACCCATGGCCAGCAGGTTATATGCTCTAGCAAGTGATAACATGCAGAAATCTTATTAATAAAGAAAACAGAAAACACAAGATACTCAGTTCAGCCCAAGAACTCAGAAAATAATTATGTTTTAACACTCTAGATAGAAAGAATCTAATCTGGTCATATAGGGGAAAATTTCACAATATGTTTTTTTTTCTTCTTGCTGTATAGCCCTTAGTCTAAACGTCTTTTTGGAGAATCAATGGATTTCCTATCTCATTTTCCCACAGAAAAATGATCCCAACTACTTTGAGTAATTTATTAATTTCCTGTTAATGAGATTCCTGTTACCATTTCCTCTTAATGAAAATTTCCATTTTATGTATGGCCTAAATCACATAATAGAAAACAGAACATTGTAGAATTTTGAGTACAATGTGCTTCAGATTTCTATCAGCTTCCCTGAGCATCAGTTAAATCTTGCTGGCCATTTTAGAAGCAGGATTGTCTACAGACACAGAGAGCACAGTCATGACTGTTTCATCATAGCATGATTTCCACTAGCAGGAAAAAATGAAGAAACTTGGGTTTATCCCTTTCTGAGTAAATGCTGATTGACTTAATGACACATAAAGCTGGCTGGGGTGCTTTGGGAACTATCTGACATATTAATAAAAAGGAAGGGAAGCTTGCAGGGAGGTCACTGAGTTTGTGGCAAAGCAGTGGTAGAAACCACCATATCTAAGAGATTACCTTTGTATCTTCATTATGGAGACTCTCAAAGAAAAGTATTTTTATTCCCCCAAATTACTAATCAGTAAGCATTATTGAGAGAAAATCCTAACAGGTTTGGAATTATAACCATTCTTTGAGAAAATTTCTGAAAATTAGTACAAAAAAACCCAAGAAATCCTAGAAGAAACCATGCACAAAGATCTCTCTGACAAATTGAAAGACAAAAAGGACAAGAACAAAAAATGGAAAAAAGGACATACAACTAAGGCAGAATATTGGCAGATAGCCAGAATCTGCAAACAATAGAATAGAATAGAATACTTTATTGGCCAAGTGTGATTGGACACACAAGGAATTTGTTTTGGTGTAAATACTCTCAGTATACATCAAGGAAAAGATATATTCATCAGGAGTCAAGAATCATAAGGTACGACACTTAATGATAGTCATAGGGTACAATAAGCAATCAATCATTCTAGGAAACAGTCAATATAAATTGTAAGTATACAAGCGACAAAGTTACAGTCATACAGTCAAAAGTGGGAGGGGATGGGTGATAAGGAGTGATGACAAGATTAACAGGAATGTGCAGACTTTGTAATAGTTGAACAGGGTTGAGGGAATTATTTGTTTAGCAGAGTGATGGCTTTCAGGAAAAACTGTTCTTGTGTCTAGTTGTTCTGGTGTGCAATGCTCTATAGCATTGTTTTGACAGAAGGAGTTGAAACAATTTATGTCTGGGATGTGAGGAGTCTGTAAATATTTCCACAGCCCTCTTTTTGACTGGCGCAGTATACAGGTCCTTGATTGAAGGCAGGTTGGTAGTAATTGTTTTTTCTGCAGTCCTAATTACTCTCTGAAGTCTGTGTCTGTCCTGTTGGGTTGCAGAACCAAACCAGACAGTTATAGCAGATGACAGATTCAATCATTCCTCTGTAGAACTGGATCAGCAGCTCCTTGGGCAGTTTGAGCTTCCTGAGTTGGCGCAGAAAGAACATTTTTTGTTGTGCTTTTTTGATGACATTTTTTGATGTTTAGGTGTCCATTTTAGGTCATGTGATAATAGTAGAACCTAGAAATTTGAAGGTCTCTACTGTTGATACAGTGTTGTCTAATAAGAGGTGGTAGTATGGACAAAGTCATGAAAGCAAAGGCTCAGAATAAACAAAGACTTGCAACAAAAGTCAAGGATAATTTTAAAAAATTCTTCCAACGTATAAATAACAAGAAAAAAAACAAGGAAACAGTTGATGCACTAAAGAGAGAAGAAAGCTTAAATCATAATCCTTCACTGCTTATTTTCAACATTTCAATACTCTCTCCTAATGCCAAACACCATATCGGTTAAACAATACCTAGTAATTTCATTAGTCAATTTCCTCCCCAATTTTGTTTTTTTTTTTAAATAAAAAATTCTCAGGTTTCACATCTCAGTACAAACATGACCATAGTTATCTATTCATTTTATTTATTCAATTTCATTTCACATTATCCTTATTAGTATTAAATATTAAACTTATCTTATCCAATTCCAATTCATATTATAACTTGTTTCATTTTTCTTAAAATATTCTCATATCTTATTTTACAATGTTATCTAAAATTCTCATCTCATTTCTATGTTCATTTCCCATACTATCTTTTTCTGTCACATTTGCAATTTTATCAATCCTTATTTTATTAATTCAAAATTGTCCTCTCTGGTAAATAATTCGAGCTAGCCACCTTCATTCTATCTTAATACCAATCTCCCTATTTATAACACAAACACACACCCCACACGCACATCAGATTCTGCATTACATTTTCTCCATCACCTTATAAGTCATCTATGCATTACAAAAGTATTAATCTAATCAATTAATTATAGCAACTGATATTAATCTTTCCATAATGGTTCTCATTTCATCATTTTTTTCTTTTCTTATACATCGCTAATCATCAATTAATATACAATATTCTTATTATAAATTCCCAATTCCATATTTATTTCATTGTTCCATGTCTAATATAGTGATAGTCCTTTAATAGAAAAAGAGAAAGAGAAAAAGGAACTAAAAAACCCCATATCAGTTACATACTTATCTATTTTCAATACTTATTCTTATATATCACAACATATTATCTTGTGGAATCCCTATCCTTTATTTTCTACCTATTATCTCTCACTCTTGTAACTGTAATTTCTTTTCATCCTTGTTTGCTTCCTGTTTCTCTTTATTTTCTGGTCCTTTCTCTTAATTCGCTTTCCCCCCATTCTTATTCCCCTCCATTTCTCATTCCAATTATTAAGTTTATCCCTCCCTCTTTCAATTTTTCTTTTGTACTTCCCTTTTCTGCTTCTTCCCTCTCCTTTTTTTCTTTTTCCGAAGCATTCCCCCCTCTGTTATTATATCAGACCACAAATTTTTGATTTTAATTCCTTTCCCCTCCGTTTAAATAATTGCTGCTCCCTTTGTTCTTCAAAGCTGGCTTCTTCTTTGTTAAACTCCCCCCACCCCCCAGTTTACTTTGTTCTTCTACAAGCTGAGTCATCATTTCTAATATCTGTAATACGTAATTGCACATTTCAAGTTTAATTTTCATCATTTCCCTTATCTTGCAACTCCAATCTTATTTCAACAAATAATTCCTTCATTATATCTTCTCCTTTTTTCCTTTTCTTCCTCTTCCTTAATAGATGTATTTCTCTTCCTTAATAGATGTATTCAATCACAAAGTCCAGTGTATTATTTCAGCCAGTGTCTTTTAAGTTTATTTTCAACAATCAATGACCTTAAATCTTTGTTCCAGGTCTGCTAGTTGGTCCTTTCCCAACTGTTTCCCAGGGTCACCGGGTGGTTCTATGACAATATTTTCAAATATCTTTCCCTTTGTAATATTCTAATGTCACTTTCCAGGGTTTTTATTTTATTATAATGGAGTTTCTTTTACTTTCTTTTAAGTTCCAAAGTCCAATTTCTTAGAAAGACCAAGCACTTTTTAAAGACTCACTGAAATTTTTCCTGTACTCTTTTGGCACTCTTTTGAGTCTTTTTCCACAATCCACTCCCTCCTTAACTTTAGTTTTCTTTGTTAAATATAATATTTTTATTAAGTTTGCTAATTTCAATCATTAGCTATTATTTCTTTTCTTTTCAATACACTCAACTTCAGCATTTAGTTATGCCCTTTAAGTGCTAGTAATCCAATAGTTGTCCAGTTTAATTTCTAAACCTTTGTTGTGTTCAAATATTTTCCTTTAAATTTTCTTCTTCAAGTTAATCCAATACAATAATTCAAGCCAATTTTATAAAATCCAATTTTCTTCTCACTTTCTCTGGTTGCCGCTTCCACATACTTTCCTCCAAAATAGTAATTTATTTTTTAATACCGGGGTACCTCAAAATCCATGTATTTTGCCTGGTTCACATGCTACTTGCTACTTCTCTGCTCCAGCACAGTCTTAGTTTCCCGGACTGTTCTTTGTCTTCGTGGTGGCCATTTTAGGGCCACCGCTACAACTTGCCTTTGTGAGGGGTTTTTCCTGTCGGGGAGGGGAGTTGCAGCTCCCCTCAACCCTCCAGGCTATTCCCCCCTTCTTCACCACCCCTCCAGGGTGGTTCTGGTCCCAATTGGGACCCTCCAGCAAGTGAGCTCGGGGCAAAACTGTGCACAATTGCGGATTCCGCTCTGACGATGTACAAACTGGAAATCTCCTGATTTTAAATTACTGCTATAATTTATCATCAAGGAGACGTGACGCTATTTCAGAATATTCTGCATCAGATTTTAGCCTTGAATACTGTGCATTGGGAATGGAATTTGATAATCTATTTCAGACCTTGTAATATTCTAAAAGAGCCCTGATTCAGATACACAACTCTTGTCATGACATCCCTGCATACAGGACAACATATAGCAAGATCTTTTACTCTCCCTCTTCAGACATTCTTTTCAAGTTTACCTGCAACCCCTATGGACAATCTGAAATTCCTGGCCTGACTTCTCTTTTTCCCTCAGCCTTCCCATTGATACCAAATTGCCATGCAATTAATGGCAAGAAAAAAACGTAAAGAGTTTTGTGTTTCTTCCCCATGTAGCTCATCGACTTGGAATTGGAGGGAGAGTAACGGTGACAGTGGAAAAACTAGAGCTGGAAGAGTCTTTTCTACTTGCCTCTTCCAAGGCAATTTTCCACTTAGCTCCCAAAACAGCTATTTCTGAGAATATTGTGAAGTATTCTTCCTGGAATGGGAAGTATCTGTCTTTCATTCCAACAGATAAGAGCCTCTAAAGAGAGTGTCAACCCTGAAGCTGACCTGACTGAAGCCATTTTTGACTGCTTCAATGTTGCCATATTGGAGCTGAGGAAAAGGGAGGGGGAATTAGAGATAATGGGGATTTTGTAGCCAAAACAAAAAAACTTTCTCTTGGGAACCAAGGACATTCTCCTATCTGGTCAGAGGAAAGTGGAGTGATGTCACCAGGCGATCAGACAGCACTGTAATTGGACCGTGTAACTGACTGTTTTGTACTTTTAATTAGGTGAAAACTGTGGGAAACTCCAGAGTCGGTTTTCACCAGATCTGTGCCAATATGATTTAGCCAATAAAGTTATTCTTTGAGGAATCTACCTGCCTCAGAGATTTGCTTGCTATGGGTGTATTACTTGGAACCCTGACAGAGAGATGATATAACTGCCACAGATGCAACCCCTCTTTCAAAGGAATTTCAGAGGGAACATACCACTAATGCATTGTTTGCCTAATGCTTGTTAATCTGACAATAGAAAGAAACAAGTTTGTTTTAATTTCAATGAAAAATAATTGGTGAAAACAAAATTACCCTTTTCTCTTTTTCTTAATACAGCAGATAAGGAGCCCAATAATGACTAGCACTGCCATCCCGCCAGTCACTACACCAATTATGATGGTCACATCTGTAAAAAGATGAAGGGAAAGAGACATTCAGGATGGTTCAAAGTAAGAGGCAAAGGCTTTTGTTCCTTTCAAAACTACTCAAAGGCTTCTCATGCAGAAGATCAAAGGGACTTAGAAATAGAGGAGTTACATAGATTCTTTCCTCCAGTCTCATGTCTTGAAAAAAACACTGTTGAGATTAATTAAAAATATTGACAATTTACTAAAAGCCACATTTAACACATTGTTGATTACATGCCTGTTTATAGAGAGACATAAAGAGGGAAACAGAAATCAACTTGAAATACATGAACAATTCACAGACTGGGAAGATATGTAATGTTTTTCCAGTACTTAATAGCTGGGTTGTAAGATGAAAGGGAGGGATGGTGAGGAAGTTGAAGAGAGAGAGAAGGAAAAAACAAACAAGAGAGGAGTCATAAGAAATTATGTAGCAGGAAAAAAGTCATGTATATAATACTTCTTTCAAAGATACTCTTCACAGGAGGTTAGGAAAGGCCTTCCTCATTTGTGAACTTTCATGCTCAACAGGATTTTGATTGATGCAATCTACATTTACATTGTGTTGAAGAAATATCCATGTTAAGAAGAATGATGCACAAAATAAAGAGATGTCATATTGATTCATATCACATTTTAAATCTGTTTTTCTACCCAAAATTCCTTCTTTGTATGAAATTAATAGAAAACTTGGTTGGGTAACAATGTGACTGTGATAACTTACCTGAATTTTTTTGAAATGTCACTAAGAATTGCAAACTCAGTTGTTGCTTGGCAGATGGTTTACAATTAGTAATATTAATCCAAAAATGCTGTCTCAAATTCAAAGTCTTTGGGAGTACATTATCATCACGGCACACAGTTTCTACCGCTCTTGCACTCTGTTCTTTAATGTAGATAAAAGCCCTACTCTTTTCACATGTTATGCCCATTTTTTCATTTAAGAATGTCAGCTGTGCAACTTGCTTTGGTGGGACACTGATATTCCAATACACTGACATAAAAGGAAGAAGGCCTTCCAGCCAGTTAGGAGTCTGCACATAAATTTTGCTCTTTGGATCCGGACTAAGGGTGAAAATGCAATCTTCTGTAGAGACAGGGAAGGAAAAAATAATAATTTATTCTTTATTCCTATAACATAATCTGAGACAATACAGTTGCTTAAAAATGACAGTAGCTGTTTTACGGTAATCAATAATGACCTCAGATCTACAGGTGCCCTTGATAAGTTATTCAGAGAATGATTGATTAGAACTCCATAGTTGCTGTTTATATCATTCTGTTTTCCTGAAAGTAAGACCTATCCCAAAATTAAGCCCTAGTTTGAGGGATGCACCGGCCCCTCTGGCTCTGTACTTGCTGACAAAGGTGTTGTTGTTTTTTTTTTTGCAAAGGCTTGCCAAAGCCCAGAGGAAGATTGCATGCCTCTAGGCTCCAACTGTATTTGCAAAAAGTCCTTGTTGGCAAAAATGGAGCTCTAGAAGGGCAAGCACATCCCTCCTGGGCTCTGTTTTTGGCAGCAAGAGCTTTTTGCAAAGATGATTGGAACCTAAAGGGACATAATCTCTCTTTAGGCTTTTGCAAACCTTTGCAAAAAGCCCTTGTCAATAAGAAAGGAGCCTGGGAGAGACTGTCATGTCCACTCTGGGCTGTTTGTGGCAAGGGCTTTTTGCAAAGATGACCAAGCCTAGAGGGAGATTGCAAGCTGAACAAGGTGTACTCATCCTGCTCTCCTTTTGCTCTCACTGCTCCTCTTTTGGAGCACTGGAAGCAGGCAAAGAAACTGCAGCAAAAAGGCTGGAGAGGAGACAGCTTGCTAGAATTATAAGGTGAGACTCCATAGGCCCAGTGCTTGTAGAGACCTGGCCAAGGGGAGGGGGTAGAATTGGCAGGGTGAATATTGCAATGCCTCTGTCATTGTTTGTGAAGGGTGAATGACTGCCTTGGTGCTACATTTGTAACTTCAGGACTGTGTTGTAAGTAATGGCAGGGTGTATGTCATAACCTTGAACAGTTGCTAAGTGAACTGTCATAACTCAAGGATTACCTGTAAAAAAACACTAACTTACCTTGTAGAACTGGCTTAAAAAATAGCTTCAGATCCCCTTTCTGAGCATTAGACTCATTGAACCATCTCTTGCCAAATGTCTTAAGTGTTATGGTGATATTATCTTTAATCTGGATTTTTTTAATGTCTCCAACAGGACAAAAATAACCAAGACTCCATGACCTTCCTGGATTGGAGCCATTAATAATATAACTATAACTTCCATTGCACCTTTGATCCCGGTTTGGAATGTGTTGCTTGAGTTTCAAGGTGGAGGATCTGATTTCTATATTCACTGCTTCGAGAGCTTGAATTTTCCATGTAAATGTCTCAATTAAAATTGGCAGTTGGAGAAGAACAGAAGGTACAGCCAGCTGGAAGAATAGGTTTTCACATGTTCTGGCATTCCAGCAAACTGTATTCAGAAAAAACAGAACACAGCAGATTTGAATCTGAAACTAAAGAGAAAAGTAGGAAATTTTCTAACTTTTCCATTACTGCTTTTTCTACGTGGCAAGCATCTTTTTTCACAAGGCAAGTTTTCTGGTAAGTCAATAAAACTTAGTATTTGAGAGATCTGTATTTCAGTAATTACCTGTATATTAATCTTCCAAAGCTGGTGCCCTCCACATATTTTAAGGTTCAGCTTTTACTTCACTAGTTATATTTTTCACTGAACAAACTATCATTAAACTATTTTCAACAATCCAACTACATTGGTTCAACAATCACATTAGTTGCCAATTAACTCTCAATATTCCATCTCTTAATTTATATTGATATGTGAACCATGGCATACATGATTATATGATTATATAACACCCTAATCACCCATATAACACCTTAATGTGCAAGCTGCATTGGCTGCATCTGCTGATTTGTTTCTGGGTCCAATTCAAGGTGTTATGACCTTTAAAGCCCTACATGGCATGAGACCAGGTTACCTATGGAACCATCTTTGTCCTACTATAATAGCCTATCCCATCCATTTAGGCAGAAAAGGCATGCAGCAGACTATCAGTAAAAGAATTCCAACTAATGGGACCCAGAAAAAAAGGCTTCTCTGCCATTGACCCCAACTGTGGAACATTTTCCCCTAGAGCAGTGATGTTGAAACTTTTTGGCACCAAGTGCCCAAAGCGCACACATACCTCCAAAATGCAATGCACGTGTGCCCCCTGCCCCTGCACGACAGACACCAGAAGACCAGCTGGCCTGCAGGAGATGGTGTGCATGCACGATGGAGTTGAGCTGAGGACGATGGCGCACGTGCCCATAAGTGCGCCACCACTGCCGTAGAGTGAGGGCCTCCCACTCTCCTGCCTTTCGAAAAGGAGTGGAAACATGGCTCTGTGGCCTTTGGGGCTCTTAGAAACATGAAGCTGTGTGGCTGGCTAATGCCCTGAAAACTCTTCTCCGTCTTTTAATTATTTTTTAATATTAACATTTAATCAATCTTCGCATTTTTAATTTGTAAATTTTATATTCTGTTTTCATTGTTTGATATTTTATCTGCATACTGCCCAGAGGGAGAGAGAGGGAGGGAGGGGGAGAGGAAGAGAGAGGAGAGGGGGAGAGAGGGATATGAATCTAGTGATTTTAGAAGTATATAGCTCTTAGAAAACCTGTAAATTTGAGAGTTGTATGACTGCCCTTTTATCCTCAATGTTGCCATCTTTCAGCAATTTTTGGAATAATTTATGAGCTATTAATTTGTCTCCCACAGAGGCAATGGTGAACCTCCGGTCACTATCATTATGTTTAATATACTGCATATTAATAAATATCAAACGGATATATTAAAAGATATTACAAGACATTTAGAAAAAAAATGGCACTGATATTCCTTCCATGTTATTGACTTTTCAAAGGCACTTTTAATTTGCCTTTCGGTGTTAATAAAATAATTTTTCAACAATCTTTTTGACATAATTGTTACAAACATAAAAAAACATTTGTGCAGAAACAGTGAATGTGGGCTGGGGAAAAGAGATTTTTGTTTTTTCCATGATTGAAGAGAGTAGCAACTGTATGGATAGGACCAAAAAGACTATTATAAGAAATAAGGAATCACCACAGATTCCTTATTTCTTATAGCAGTCTTGCCTTCTCTAAAACTAGGGAAAAATGAAAAATGAATTGGGTAAAATGGAGTTTGCCAATATGCCCTTCACAAAACTGCTTCCATTTTAGGTCAAGAGAAACCAGAACTTTACTTGATTCAATCTAGTAAAAATTGGAAACTTCTGCAGTTCTACAAGTATTGAAGAAATGTTCTACTCTTTATAGTTAACTACTGCATTCTGAATTTTGGATCCTATCTAAAGCATATATTGTGGCAGAGTCAATTGTTGTCTTTATAGACTATTTAAGACTGATTTTACGATCAGTGTAACATAGAGATGAATGCTGGAAAATATAGCTAAACTTGTATCCAAAAATTATTATTCATTACTACAGACTATGTGTCTAGCATGTGCTAAATCTCAATAAACATTTTCTTCCCATCTGATTTATTACAAATATATCATACATATACAGCTTTTTTAATCTATACCCTTCATGTCATGTGTAAAAGATAACAAGGATGGTAATTCAACACAAGTGCAATTTTCAGATTGAATCAGATTATAAAAATGTAATGGTAAGGCATCTTGGGGTAATCTGGTTTCTCCTATAGGATAATATGGTGCTCAGTTCTACTAGACTACTTAAGTTCAAGTAAACAAAGAACAAAATACATTCTCAGTGGATAACTAAGATACATCTTCCATGTAACAAAAATCAAACTATTTTTCTCATACCTATACTTTGCTCAGCAATTATCCTTATATTCTCCAAATTTTGGCACAGGAAGGTAACAAAATATGTGCGACCATATTCTAAAGTCACATTTGGTCTGCAGTTTCTGCTAGAGTGAACACAGATCAAGCATTCATTCATTGATGATTTTGAGTAAACTGTAAGATTAGTCTTCTCGTGTGTTAGATCAATTTTGTAGGTTACATCTAAAACAAAAATATACAAGATAAATTTTTAAAATAATTGTCATATTCTTACAAGAAAATGATACAGTTGTTATCTTGGGTTTCAGATAGATCTATTGAGGGATAGACTGTAATTATGCAGGTTTGCTATGAAAGACTTTGAAGAAATGAAAGATTTGCAAATGAAAGAGCAGGTAAAATTTCCTGATTTTTAAGAAATCTGAAATCTGATTTAACAATAGATTCATGCAAGAGTAACTGATTTTAACATTGTATCCACATACCAAAAACCCAAGATTGAAAATCTTAATTTTAATATTTAGGTGATCTGTTTGTCTTGAAAAGGAAAAAGATGATTTCCAATAGCAATTAAAATATTATTGTATAAAATCTGTATGTGAATGCATGTATATCTGGAGTTGACAAGAATTGTAAGACAACACGAATAGAAGATACTATTTTGGAGAATGCTTCTTCAAATTTAGTTAATATGCAAACATCAACCAAACAAAATGGTCATAACAGAGAGAAGAAACGTTACTTACTCTCTTCATTTTTAGGGTAATCCACTACCACTTTAAATAAGAGTCTGAGGAGCCCTGGGTTCACATCATCTTGGTCACATCCATACAGGGAAAGGTTGAAACTGCCAGGAATATTGACAGGTTGCACATCATCCAGAGGTAACACTCTAGCATCAGGAAAATAATCCGGTAATGAGTATTCCACCCGCTCATATTTCCGTTCACAGTTTGGTTTTGTATAATTGATGAAGTTGATATCTGCTCTTAAACTGGATGGAAGAACAAATTGCCATGTCATAAGTTCATCTTCTGGTAACCCGAATGGATAATTTGCAGACATCAAAGTTGCTGATAATTTGCCTTTAAATGTAGATTCTATAATGCAGAGTCCTATATTAAAAAAGGAAGATTTACTTTGAAGGAGAAAAACTCCATGTACAGTATTCAGATTCTCAAAACTTAAGGCATCGAATTAGAGATTGGAATCATTGCAGCAATTCATCTCACTTTTAATCATTCAAAACTCAGTGAAGCCATTGACCAATTTCTCTAGTCAATTTAGATAGTGAAAATGCTTTGCTATAGCCTCTTTGAAATCTACAGCAGCATTCAGTTTGCCTTCAAATTAAAACCTTTTTTCATCTGATATAATATACTCAGACAAAGTCCTCAAACCTTGCCAAAGGGCAAGAAAATATATGTACATTGAAACCCTCTATTGGTAGTATTAAGCTCCATTTACTGTGATTTGTGGACATCCTTATATATGAGTATGTTGTTAAATAGCCCAGCTTCTCCTTCCTAATCAGTCTTCTTTACTCTCAGTTACAGCTTTGGTCTAGAAATGGAAAATATTTTCTACTGTCTGATGAAGAGGGTAACATTTTCTTCTTACAGACTAAGAAACAAGATACACATGAAGACTTCCTGGTTATCATGAAAAGTTTTAATGAAAATCTCTCAGTGAAAGTGGGTTTGACTTTGTTTATTATGTAGATATAGCAGCCAAGGTTGTTCAATTTATTTTGGAAATTTTAAAATGAAATTTCATTTTAAAAAGCTCGTTAAAAATCTGATGGTACAAAATAATGTGAATTTTTTTTTAAAAAAGCACTAAATCTAGTTAAATAACGAACTGAGTACTTAAAAAGAAGCAAGATTTTCTTTTCCCCATCAAATAAAAAATAGAACATTGTTTGCTAAATGCTAGATCAACTTCTCACAGCAGATTTTTGAGGATACACGTCCTAAAATATGTGCAAAAGGGTGGCATAGATCCATTGTTGGCAGCTTCTGAGTTTGAACAAATCCATATTTCATATATATTAGTCCATAATTTTCAATAAACATTTGCTCAATCTGAACTAGGCATTATTTACAATGTTGGTTTAATCCCTCCCACATTATCCACAAATAGACAAAATGAAGTTCAAAATTATAAACTTTCTGCTTCAAGTCTGCAACATTCAAAAACTGCGGTGGCACAGTGGTTAGAATTCAGTACTGCAGGTTACTTCTGCCAATTGCTGGCTACCAGCAGTTCAAATTTCACCAGTTCAAGGCTGATTTAGCCTTCCATCCTTCTGAGGTCGGTAAAATGAGGATCCAGATTGTTGGGGGCAATATGCTGACTTGTAAATGCTTAGAGAGGGCTGTAAAGCATTGTGAAGCGGTATATAAGTCTAAGTGCTACTGCTACATTCCCATATAATGCTTAAAAATAATAATAAACTGAAATAATCTATACAAAAAATTGTCATTCATTAAACAGCAGAAATAAAGGAACCTAGTAGGTCCACGGTTCTGCCTCTTTTCTCTTAGCCCCAGTCACAGAAAAAAGTTAAAAAGACTGTGTAAGGTAGGGGTCCCCAATCCTAGTCCATGGACTGGCACCAGGCTGTGGCATGCCAGAAACCGGGCAATGTAAACAAGTGAAGCAAGGATGCAAGCAGCATGCAATATCATACTCTCTCCAGTCTGTGGAAAAATGTTTATCCACAGAACCAGTCCTTGTTGCCCAAAAGGTTGGGGGCCACTAGTGTAAGGCATTTCATTTAAATATAGCAAATGGCAATGGGGCTGTCAATGGAAGCAAAGTATTAATTCCCTATGCTTACGTTGTATGGATGATCTGCTTTCAAGCTTAACTCCAGAGGCTGCGAGTTTTGAATCCCAAGGAAGCTGTAGACTCAAAATAGCATCACCCTGTGCCTTTACCCGTGACACTGAACCATTTCTGCAGAAGGTTCCAATGTGGACTCTATCTTTTCCCAGACGACTGCCAATGTTGTAAATAATTTGATCAGGGCAGGTGTCTCCAGGCAGAATTTGCCTTAACCATGGAGAGAATTTCAGTTCAAGTCCAACTCTTCGGTTAGCTTTAGCCTCCCAAATGAAAGTCCTATTAAGATGTGGCAATCCAGGAGGCTGAAACTGAACATCTCCAAAAGGACATGGACCTGACAAACAATCTAGAAACATAGAGAAACGTGTAAGACTTATACTCAAATCTGAAATGCTATCACTAATCATATTGATTTGATCTATAATTTTTCTATCAACAATCCATAACTAATCGGTTCCTACACACACATAATCTGCTTTTTAACTGCTTTATAGGATAGTAGTCTTATTCAGAACTTAATCAGCAATAAATTCCATAGGAATTCTGGGAGCTGTAATCCAACACAGGAAGCTACCAAATTTAGTAAATATGCTTAGAATTGTACTCTATACATTTTTGCCCTCAAACTGTCATTACACTTTGAGGGCAAAGATGTATACAAAACCATCCTTTTTTTAAAGTGGCAACCTTAGCCTCTGCCTTGTTCAAGCACTATTCAAGAAAGCTCACTAAGGAATTTTGAACATGACATATTTGTACTCATTTATTGGGGGGATGGGGAATGTCCCATTAAATAAAAAGCCTCATTAAATAAAAAGCTATATTATAAAAATGTGAAAAAAAATCTGAAGTGTAAACTTCAGATTCTTTTAAAACATTAAGCAAGAATTTGTTTTTAATCCATTTCACTGATGGGGTTGTACAAGTTCATTTAGACTTATGTCAGAGTTGGTAAATAATCCAGTGCTTTGAAAAGCTCCCACTAATCATAAATACAATTTATGTAACATTGCTTACCAATGTTTTTCTCCACAAGTATGGACCAATATTTCTCTGGTGTTGAACAATCAAAGGTAAATTGAAACTTCTGTCCAGGCTTTATGATTTTCTCAGAAAAATGAGTTTTTTTTCCTTCATGCAGTGCACAGGTATTTAGAGAAGAAAATCCAGGTTTTATTTTAACTGTTATGTTTTCACCCAGCTGAAGAGAAATTTCAAAAGCACCTAAGATTAAAAGAGAGAAAAGATATAGACTTCTGGCTTATTAAGACCTAGACATTTATTACTGTATCAGCTTTTATGCAATAATACAATCATCTTCATTTGATGAAGTGATACATGATCAATTAGACCAGTGATGGCTAACCTTTTCCATGTTGCATGCCAAAATTGCGCATGTGCGCGCGCCTCCTGCACCCATAATGCAATGCATGCATGACACCCTGCGCATGCACCATGTGCCTCTGTGCATGTGTGCACACCCCCATGCACTGCATGCCAATGTGCCTAACCCCCACACACCCCACCCCCTGCACATGCGTCTCTTGCACACGCCTCTCCCCCCCCATGCATGCGTGGCAGATACCCAACAATCAGCTGGCTGGCAGGGAGCGCGAGTGCATGCACAGTGGGGCTCTTCTGGGCAACCTTTGCATGCCGGCAGAAATGGCTCTGTGTGCCACGCGTGCCATAGGTTCACCATTACGGAGGTAGACTATTAAGATGCTTTAAAACTTTGTTACTGTGTATTGAGGGAGGGAAGGACGGAGAGGAGGAGGAGAGACAGAACCAACTATTTTGTATATATGTTATTCTACCCTTATCAGAGGTGGGATGCTACTGGTTTGGCCCAGTTTTATAGAACTGGTAGCTCCGAGGAGCAGCTGACATTGAACCAGTTTTCTGCAACGATCTTCTGGTCATCTGTTTGGCCCACCCACCTGCCTGGGCTCTAACCTGTCTTTTATTCTCCGTTTTGTCCTCCTCAGCTCCTTTGTGTGGCACAGCTGAGTGCCACGTCAGCTGGAGCAGGTGAATACTTGCTGGACCCAGTAATTTGTAAGTAATGCACACATGCGTTTATTGTGCACGTGCATGAAATGGGCATTTGGTGTACATGTGCACAAAGTGAACCAGTTGTTATGCTGGTAGGATCCCACCCTGACTCCATCCAATCTGAATGAATGAATTTCTTTTCTTTTTCTACACATTTGCCTGGATATGTTTGAGAGAAACTCAATACAATGCAAATATACTTATGTAGGTGCAACACTCCTCGTATTTTGCTTTCCATTACTGAAAAACCATCCTGAAGAATGCAAAGAGGGAGGAAGTAAGAAGAAAAAGAACAACTTCCTCATCTCATGCAGAAAGCCTCCCAAATTTGATAGAGATTGGCTCCAAGGTCAATGTTAAAGAGAAAGCTACCACAGTCTCAATTAAAAAATAATAATCAAAGCACAATCTTTTAAGTGACATTTTTTTCCAAAAAAGAAAAGTAATTTTTACATTAAACACCCACAACTTTCTTATAATCACTAGCTAAGTGCTAATTAAAACTAACAACCTGTTACAATTAGTAAGTAGAAAAGAACCATTGCCTACATGCAGATCAACTGTTTTGTGGGCCAATCCTGCCTGCTGATCACGCAAACTGCTACCACACAGTTGCGGCCTGCATGCTTGGGGCTAAAGCCCCAGCAGCCTGCTGAGTTTGGCTAGGGTGTTAAAAACTCTTTTTTTGCCACGTTGTCTGGGCCATTCCCTCGGGGAAACTAAGGCCTGTGGTACTAACCTATTTCTGCTGTGAAAAAGAATCAAATGAAATAGAAAAAAACTCCACTCCCAGTGAAATTGAAAGTGGAGCTGCTGAAAAACATGTCCGTCCTGGCTGAGAGACTGAGTCAAAAGCTGGGGAAGAGCCAGCAACAGAGGCGGAGCTTAGACAGCTTTGACAGACTCAGTCCAATCAGCGAGGACAGGAGTCACCCCAATCATGGGACTCTTGTAACCACAGAAAGAAGAATTTCACAGTTTCAGTCACAAACTGACTTCCATAGACCTTACATCATACGTAAGTGGTTAGTAGAGGGGGCGCGCATAAGTTAACGTGCCTATCGTTCCCTGTCATTGTATTTTTATTACTTTATTCTTGTTTTTGTTTGACAAATTCTAATAAATAAATAAATTCTCCCCACAACATCTCATCTCTTATTGTTTACAGTACTTTAAAGGAACAGCAACATAAAAGACACAACACAGCCACTTTTAATTATCACCTGCAAGAAAATGTAAAGATCACCTCCAATCTATAGCTAGTAGCAAAAAATATTGACTATTAGAATTATTATTTTATATTCTTTGTAGCCTAATAGCAAAGCTAGATATTTCTAGTGCCAAACTGGCTGGGTGATTTTGGGCCAGTCACTCTATTACAGCCCAACTCATCTCACAGGTTGTTGCAAAAATGGGAAAAAAAGAGTACTGTATGTTCACTGCATTGAATTATTTACAAAAATAATTATTTACAAAAATAATAAAGGTAGTTTTAAATAATAATAGTACTATACCATAGGGGTGCATAATAAATTATTTAAGTACAACGCATTCTGAATTTGCTTTAAGCAATATTAAGAAATAAAATATTTGTTTTGCTTTCTTAAACACAGCTCTTTCTTTATCTACCTGAATAATTTCCTACTCTAAAAATGTGGAGGGGGAAGCTAAAAGATTTTTGGATGAAACAGTCATGAAGGGAAAGTGTTAAATAGGCTTTCCCCCCCTCAGTTTTATCACTGAGCTATCCTCCAATTATATTTGTAACTTACTGTCACCTTTTTTTAAATTAAAGGAAGTATATGAACAATTCCAATTTTTAAATACCTCTCATTCAGTAAAAATCTAGTTTGGTCCAAATCCTCAATATTGTGATTACATGAAATCCGTTCCTTCTTCTTTTTCTCCCCTTTTTCCTATGGGGAAAAATAGATCAAAGACTTCCTAGGAAATGGGACAGATCTTAAGAGTAATCTGGATATGGCACTCCTTTCTTTGCTACTACTTGTGTCAGACATGTACATGACTTCATGATCCCATTAAGTCAATTGAGCAAAAGTACACTTAAATGGATTTGAATTTTAAAGTGAACAAAATACAGTTAACATTTAACAATAAGGAAACCAAGGTCATTCAGTAAAGAAACTAAAATTATTTCACTGCAGTGAAGCTAAAGCTTTTCAGAAATCTCCCACTCTTAACAAGATGCTCAGTTTGGGGTATTCAATTCCATGCCCAAGTCTGCTTTTGGGAGTAATCAAACAAATGCTGTCATTTTTCACTTTCCCTTCCTCTGCAATTTCTTGGCATGGGCCAGATAAAACCTTCAGCACACCCTCAGATGGGGATTAAGGAAACATAGCACTATTTTATTGCTTTAGTGAAGCCATAATACCAATTAGCATTATACTGTGGTTGGTTTTAACTTTCAGGTGACTCAGACTGTTCATCTGCCATATGAAATAGCAATTTCAGGCACTTTAGGTTCCATAGCTTGAAATCTACAAACAGTGGCTTTTTAATAGCTTCTATTAGGGCAGGGCTGTCAAACTCCCAGCCTACATGCATCCCGGCCGGATGCGTCACCTGCTGGTCACATCCATGCCCGGTTTAACGAAGGGGGAAAAGGTCCCGATACGAAATGTCACAAGTTTGACATCCCTCTGTTAAGGAATAGTGTAAAGCAGAATCAGAAACTAAGAATGTGCTTCCTCTCTGACTGCTGGTGTTACGAGTTTGGCCAGGCTTCCTCTAGGTGGAAATGGGTACTAGAAGTGTCTTGTGTGGAGGAGTGATAGGATTGTCTGTTCTGTGCCAGTAGCACTATGTTTCGCTTCATAAAGAGTATCTTTTGATCATAATTAGGCACCACAAAAATAATTCTAAATTAATAGGTTTTCCATTTTCTTCCCAAACGTACTATCTTTTAAGACCAGATATATGAAGTCATGAATGCACATAGACACAGAGAAAGAGGAGGAGAGAGAGGGTTTTCTGAAAGTTCAGATGACTCAAGATCAGGGTCCCCAACTCCTGATTCATGGTCTAGTGCTGGGCTGCAGCCAGTTTGGAACTGGGTGCAAAAGTGGTGGTGAGCGCGAGTGCTCACACAAAGCTGCATCTCCTATCCCCCAATACAAAATTAAGCAACTTAAAAGCTAAGAAAGCAAATTAAAGTGGCTTAACTCATATCATGAATACATTTAAAGTTTTCTAGATAAAAGCAAGAGGAGGGGGGAAAAGGTGAACCCAAGCAATACAATAGTTCTGTACCATATCATACCCTACCCTGCAATTAAATAGAATAAGGAAGATTGTTTTTTCATATAATATGAAAGAGCAATGAATTACCCCTTGGAATCCCCTACTACAGCTGGCCCTATTCAGAAGAAATCCTCCAAATACCTAGAAGCATAGGAAGGAGGTTGGAAGATGCAACAAGGAAAGATGGATGGATCACTTCCACCAAAGACATTTTATTAAGTAGACACATTTTTTAATTTGTCTTTCATTTATATGCTTAGACATATAATCTTGATGTTGGCAAATCTGACTTCAAACCATAGTGAAGAACATTGAAAGTAGGTGTAGATGAGAATTTTTTTGATAATGCAGTTTAAATAATTTGCCTATATTCTAAAGATATGCAGTAACACTTATTTAGTTATGAAAATTTACATTGCTGCCCAATTCACTCATAGTGACTTATAGAAATAAAATCCCCAGTACAAACCCAATCGCCTCCCCTTCACATCTCAATGTCAACAATCAAACCAACTATTTGATGGACTCCATATTACCCTTGAATATCCTGATTCATTGGGAAACCATGTCTTCAGGGCCTTTCAAAAGAGTGACAAGATTGGTGGGGGGGAATCTAAATTCTAAAGTGATGATGTTCCACAGGGACCATAAAGAAAGCCCTTCTTCTTGGTCCCACCATATGGACCTCCTTAACTGAGGGGACCTGTAACATACCCTGCCTCCCTGTTCTTGTGGGTCAGATAGATGTGGCTGGAGAAAAACAATCCTTCATATCATTACATTAACATCACATTATACTAAGTGAAAATGAAATAAAATTCATAAGACAAAAAGAAAAATAAGGCAAATATATGGCTGTTTATTAGAAAGTCTAATCTTGGCAAAAGCAAAGGAAACTATTGCAGCATTCGCTTTCACAATTTATTCCAGTGTTCCTGGGAATAATATTGTGCAAACTTTGTGTATGTGTGCTTATGCACACATAAAGATGCAAAGATGAACATGTTTTCAAGACATCAGCAAGCTCCTGAAAAAATCATTTAAAAATCATTCACCAGGAAAATATCATTTATGTGTTTATAGAAGTTTTCTTTCAAGAAATGCAAATGTTTTGTAATTAGTCTTATGTTAGAAACTTAATACAAACAAACCTGGAGAACAGAAGAAGAGACGAGACCCAGAGTTAATTTTACCTGATATAAACCACATGTAGCCTTCAACGATGGAATAACTGATAAGTGATAGAAATGATTAGCTGATTAGACCTGACTCCCACTAACCAAGTTCTCATGTTTAGAATCTGCCATCCCTCCATTTCTCCTTGATAATGTGAAAGAGCTTTTATGTGTTTTTGTTCGTTGTTAAAATCAATAAAACTTTTTTTTTCAAAAAAAAAAAAACAATGCAGAAGAGCTGAAACCCGTTATTGAAGGATCCTGGTCTTCCATAACACCTCAGCAGTGCCACAGGCTAATAGCTTCCATGCCACACCACGTTGAGGCAGTAATTGCTGCAAAAGGGGCCCAAACCAAGTCCTGAGTAAATATACATGCTTATACTTTTCAGAGGTCCGATATTGTTCTATGTAAAATCCTTGTTTTATTGATTGCATTTAATATTCTAATTTTCTGAGATTGTGGATTTGGGGTTTTCATGAGCTGTAAGCCATAATCATTGCAATTATGACAAATCACGCCTTGAACTATCTTGCTTTGCATGTAATGAGTCTATCTCATATATTAGTTTCAACTTTTAAGTTGCATTACTGAAATAAATGAACTTTTGCACAATATTCTAATTTTTTGAGTTTCACCTGTATATCATAATTTTCCAACTTCAGTTTTTAGATCTTGATACTTTGTGATCTCCAATTCTTTGTCTTGTCTTTTACTATCTCCTTGTATGGCTACATCAATTGTCCACACATTCTTATTTTCAATCACACTTATACCTGAAGTATCAGGTTGGTTGTATTAGGAAATCCCACAACACTTTATCTCTCATCTTTTCAACTACTTTTTCAAGTATATTTCCTACCTATTTTTCACTACTGGCACACGGTAAATTTATAGATATTCCAGTGAATTATTTTGGTGACTATATAATGTTACTACAGGTAGTCCTCAAGTAATGAATGAAATGGAGCCTGCTCATGTCATGCATAACCCGAGAATTTGTGGGAGTAATTCTTGTACCTTGAATGTAATCAGTCCTTTTGCCCTTGCATTTGCTAATCGAGGTTTGTTAAGTGAACATGAGGTATTTCAGGGAAAGCCATTCAGGATGAGCCCGCCCCTCTGAACTTCCAGTTTGGCTGGCAAAGTGCCAGGGGAAGCCTGCACAGGCCAAAACAGAGCGTCAGAAGGACAGGCTCGCCCCTCCAAAGCTCCGTTTTGACCAGCAAAGTGCAGAGTAGAGGGGAATAGACAGGACAAATGTTACAGAGTCTCTGCAGTTATTTGTAACAACTTCTGTGGTGCTGCAACATTCATAGTTTTGGGACTTGTTCATCAACACTAGGGGGCACTTATCATGTAACTTCACTCGTAACCCAGGGATTACCTCTATTTATAATCAATTTGTGCAATTTTCCTGCATGAGCGGAGTATATGATCTTCTGTCTTTTTGTACAATTTGTACTTTGAACCATTTGGTGGTTTTTCAATTCTGGCCTTACAATTTTTATATTTTTATTCTGCCTTTTTATATTTAATTCAAAGCAACTAAGATTTCTCCCACCTTCTATTTTCCCCACAACAGCCCTATGATGTGGGTTGGGCTGAGAGAGTAACTGGCCAAAAATCAACCAGCTGGTTTTCAGGCCTAAGTGAGACCTAGAACTCATAATCTCCTGGTATCAGGATTCCGGCAGTTACCCCCATTTAAATCATGAATCTTGAGCCAAACTTCCTTAACATGCTGGCATTGCCTGGGTGTAGCCAACTCTCAGACACATAATTCATTGGTACCCTTGACTCTAGTTTCCCCCCTATCCCCTGATTCTATCATAATTCATATTCTCCAATGGGACACATCCATAGCCAAGAGTCATCAATCATGCTCTCCAGTTAGAATTTTGCATGGCAGAAAGTTCGGTCTCTTTGAAAACATTTATGGAATGCAGTTTCGGTTTTGCAAGCTGCTGCACTGCTCTCCCCTCCCTTTCTGTGGGAAACTCTAAAAAGACCAGATAAATATTTTATGAGTTGACACCTGGTTTCTATGCCAGCACCTTCTTTAACAGATGAACAAAGTTGGATTGAGAGTTGAAGGATCTGTACAGTGGTGTCAGCCTCCAAAAATCCTTCTTCTGCTTGTTCTCTTTCCAGCTGCCATAGAAACGGGGGGGGGGGGGATAATTGGGCTTCATGGGGGGAAGTGTTCTGGAAGATGAAGTTGGCATATTGCAAAAATTGGGATGCTATCTTGATTATGCTTACTTGCTTACTATGCAAATGTAGCCTCTTATCTCTCTAGGCAAAGGTCAACAGTCTTGACATACAGATGTGTGAAATGCCACCTGAAGATGCACCCACATGACATTATACACACTTCAGACTGGATGGCCAGTTTGAACTATTGGGG